GTCGCAGAAGGATACCATGGTTGATGGTATCGAAAGCCGCCGAGAGGTCAAGAAGAACTAGGATGGAGGGATGGCCTCCATCTCTGGCTCGCCAAAGATCATCGGTCAATGCGACCAAAGCGGTTTCTGTGCTGTAACCGGGTCTGAAGCCTGACTGGAAGGGGTCAAGATAACATGGAGCTCAATAGTGGTTCCCCATCTAGACCTAACTAGATTTGGTTCTGCTTAACTTGTTAGCATGCTAAATGGATTATGACCAACTCATAATGGTAGGGTCAATAAGAGGGCTTGCCACTTACCTTTACTTTCACTGCACCTGCCTCTGGATATATGTTTAGCCAAGCAAAAGAGCTGGAGGAATGGAATTCAATCACTAGACATGTGATTGCCTGAAATAAAATTATCTAGGCATATTTTTCTTCCTATTTTCCCATGTTCCACCTTCCTGGCCTGTAGTTCTTCCAACAATATAGTCCAATATAGTCAGCTCCATCTATCTGTATCCTATCTGCAGCCTATATAATAGACTACAGTCTAGAGCAGTGTTTCTCAGCAACTTTAAGATGTGTTCTTAAAGATCTTAAAGTTGCTTAGATTGAAAAACTGAGCTAGGAAAAACATTGCTTCCGCTCAGAAAAATAGACATAGAGAAGAGTATTTTCCTGTACATACATGCAATTTCCGGGTTCCCTAATTTCACAATCAAGTTTTTCCTTTTCCAATATTTGGGGGTGGTGGTGTTTGAATGGCTCTTAAAAATGAATTTCTGCGTTGCCAAAAGTAGGTACTTTCCTGCGTTTAAATGGCAGATCTGGTGCATTTCTTGAAGTACTGGTATATTCATGTCATAAACATTTAGTATATGAAAGGACACTATCTTAACAATATGAATGTTATGCTTTTCCAGTACGGATTTGGTAGAAATTAGAATATGGGGTTATATGTGTTAATATGGTGGTATTGTATTATTCTTAGTGCCAGAAAAAGGTGTGGGAAGCAGCCCTTTAACTAAGTGGTTTATTCCCAGTGCTATTCAAATGTGCCATACAAGAATGTTATGAAATAGGAGAACAGGCATTACACAGTTCCAGATACCAGACAGAATTAAATGAATATATAAATAAACTTTACTTTCTAAAATAGCAAGATCAGAGTAAGAAATTCCAAATTTCTCTGACATAAAAGTAAGAGTTTGAACGCCACTCTAGCTGCTGGAATGCAATTGTTTTGCTCTTTTGTCAAATAGTGCCTGTCTATTGAGGAAGCAGATCAAAAAATTGTGGAGTATTACTGATGACTCTTTCATTTACTGATCTGCTCATTGAGTATATATCATGACAATATGCCAGGTGAAAAGGGAAGTACAGTCAGGGTCTGGCTATTTCTGCTTTAGATTGAAAATTGTTGTGTCTCTGAAGTTACAGGATAGTTTTGGATGAAAGCATCACAAAGGGAAACGCTGCAGAATTGACCGAGAATGCTGATAATAAAATGATGGAGCTAAAAGAGAAATTGGAGGAAGAATTACTCCACCTGGGAGAAGAACAGTATGATGCAATCTGGAAGAAGAAAGATCAGCATGCTATAGAGGTATACCATATTTGTATTAACATTCTTTGATTTAATTACTTAATAAACAGCACCAATGAACCTGAATCATTTCATTAAGATTGCATTGTTATACATGCTAAACTTGTCAGATGGCTTTAAACCCAATCCAAATCTGCTATTTGAATTCACATTGTTGTTTTTGGGGGGAAAGGTCATACTGTGTGTGAATATGGCTTCCTGATATTACCAAAATGATATTTCACGTATTTCTGGGGCACTCAATTAAATTGATGTCAGAACTGATCATTCCTTGGCAATTCTGAAGAAAATTTATCGTTTGAGAGTCACAGGTGGGAGATCTCATCAGTCCCTCCCTTCTGCAAATTTGTGTAAATGACACGTTTGTTCACTCACTCTCACACACCCGTGTGCAACATGACTGTATATTACAAACACAGCTTTGGAAACATCTGGAGCCATTGAATTAATCACTTGCTGTATAGTTCCTAAGGTAAGAAAGTGGCCCATTCTTCTTTCCCATGTTTTCCCTGTTCAACTTTCCCATTAAGGCCCATAGCAAACCTACTTCAAATGATTAGAATGATGTGGGAAGTTGTAGAAAACATTTCAAGGAGAAGAAAGGATCAATGTTCTCTTCCTTCCTTTATGAGCCTCTATTATCTGAGTGCCTTCGGTGGAAAGGACCCTTCTAGTTCCAACTCAGGATAATGTCTATGGAGATCATCAGTCATCCAGGTCATGATGGTTGCCACTATGTAGAAAAGATGTGGAGACTCTAGAAAGAGTGCAGAGAAGAGTAACAAANACACACACACACACACACACACACACTTCCATATCTCTGGCCTCTTTACCAAAAGTCTCTGAATTTTCCTCTGCTAAGAAACAGCATTCATCTTGGAAAACATGTATAAAATAAACACAGGGGAAAAATAAGATCTTTGTCGGCACTGTACACAACCTAAATATCTTTATAGCCAAGCTGGACTCCCTGTGGGTCCTATTACTTAGTTGGCTTCCACCCATAGCTGGAAACATTTTGGACTTATCGGTGGAAGTGAAACTCAGCTGGATGACACCATGGTTAGGCCTACAACTACCTACATAGGAGATTTAGATTCAGGGTAGAAACTACTCAAGGAATGAGAGGAGAGGAAGTGTCTATGGAGACTCTCAGTCCTTCAGGTCATGGTTGTCCCACAGGTGATTTTTTTTTCAACAGGCCGCTGAATGTTCTGGTTTTTCTTTTGAAGTTTTGCTTCTCATCCAAGAAGCTTCTTCAGCTCTGACTGAATGGTGGGGAATGGAAGGATTTATACTCCTTGCAGACAGCTGGTCATTTGCATCCTTTGAGAGGGTCCTTGAGGCCACTTGGAGGTTTATCTGTGTCCTCGGGGGTCACCTGACTAGTGCAAATAGTTCATTTAGTCTGCAATTTTTCCTCTCGAAATCCATTTCTACTCCCATACCCTTCAAAGTGTGTTCATCCCAAATTGTATAGCTAAAATTATGTGGAGATTCTCAGTCCTCCCGGTCATGGTTGTCCCAAAGATTCTTTTTTTCAAGTGGCAACTGGACTTCCTTGTTTTTTGTTTTTTTTAAAGACATTTTGCTTCTCATTCAAGAAGCTTCTTCAGCTCTGATTGGATGGCAGGGAATGGAAGGATTTATACTCCTTACAGACAGCTGGTCATTTGCACCCTTCGAGAGGGAGGACACAGATAAATCTTCAAGTGCCCTCAATTAGTTTTGGAAATTCATTGAGTGATTTTGAACCAGTCAGTCTCTTTCTACCCAACTAACCTCACAGGACTTTTTTGGGGGGGTGGGGAGGGAAATAAAATAAAGAATGATCTCTCTGTAATCTGAAGAGGTCCTAGAGAAAAAAAAAGGAATAATAAGAAGAATAAAGATTCCCCTCGCACATATGTTCTAATTGTTCCTAACTCTAGGGGGCGGTGCTCATCTACGTTTCAAAGTTGAAGAGCCAGCGCTGTCCAAAGACGTCTCCATGGTCATGTGGTCGGCATGACTCAACGCCGAAGGGACACAGAACACTGTTACCTTCCCACCAAAGGTGGTTCCTATTTTTTCTACTTGCATTTTTACATGCTTTCAAATTCGTAGGTTGACAGAAGCTGGGACAAATAATGGGACCTCACTCCATTACATAACACTAGGGATTTGAACCGCCGAACTGCTGACTTTTCTGATCAACAAGTTTAGCGTCTTAGTCATTGAGCCACCATGTCCCTAAAAAAAAACTTGTTTATTTCTTGCAAGTAGAACACCAAGTAGATCTTTTCCCATCCATCAATTCTACAGGTAAAGTTTCAAGTGGAATTTATTTTAAACCACTTGATTTTTGTTTTTAAGTGGAGAGTGGTATGCAAATGTTCCAACTGAATAAATATTTTTCAGCTTTTCCATTTCCAGCTTTCTGCCGAAACAGACAGAAAGACAAACTTTCATCGCTGTAATGCTACATCAACATTTGTCACCCAACAAAAGCTTGCCTTTTTTATGAGTTGCTTATGGAATAAAATTATCCCCTCTTTGCCAGGCCATTTCTCTAATGGTGATTGTATTTATGATTCCTGCATAAAGCTAATTCTTAATATACAAACACTTCTTGGCTCTTCATCAATTTTGCCAAGATTTGCCCTAACATTAACATTTTCACAGATATGGTTAAAGACCTATGATTTAGAAATAAGTGCCAATTAAAAAAAAAACTTTAAAGGAAAGGAAATAATTTTTTAAGGATTTAAATATTTTTAAAAGAGCTTTAAAAGAAACACTGGTTGCTTAATAATAAGAAGTAATACCCTTCTGTTGTTCCAGGAAATAACTATAGAGAAGTCAAATGCTATTATTTTTGAATTGAATTGAATATTCCTTCCTTCCTTCCTTCCTTCCTTCCTTCCTTCCTTCCTTCCTTCCTTCCTTTCTCTCTCCCTCTTCCCCTCTCTTTTCTTTTTTTCATCATCTTGTTTATGACATCATACTAATATTTGCCCCTGAAATGACTGTTAACAGTAATGTGTTATCATTATCACTAACTCATTAAATTCATTAAATAAATAGTAAATTCTGCCATCGTTAATCGTAGGCCATCATTACCAAACTTTCTGCATTATTTCTAAAAGTTGATTTTCCATTCTATGCACACACATACCTCCGATTTGTTTTCTCTCTTTACGAGTTGAATGTTCCATAAAATATATTTTATAAAATCCAACTGAATGTCTTGTCTTCCCATCTCTCTCTCTTTTTTTCCCTTTTCTATATTCCAGGTAAACATTTTAAGGAAAAATTCTGAACTTAGAGATCTTCCCTTTAATATCCCAAGAGAATACGCACTGGAACCTAGAAAAGAGAATCTGGGTTTGTGATAACTTTTGCGGAAACAGAAGTCTAAGAACTAAAAACTGGAGAGCAGAAAATTGAAACATCTAGCTATCCATAGAACTGTTATATATGCTCTTATCCAATGCAAGATAACCATACACATCACCTATGGAATATAGAGTTGCCCCTGGTTTGCATTGACATTGTTGTGTGCCCGGAGTAGATCATCCACTCTTAGCATAGATCTTAGCCTAGATAGAAATATTCCTCTCTACTTGTCAAACATAACTGATATTTTATCAAGATCATGTGAAGAGTTAATACCACTTTATAATGCCTTGGCAAGGCCACACTTGGAATACTGCATTCAGTTTTGGTTACCACGAAGTAGAAAAGATGTGGAGACTCTAGAAAGAGTGCAGAGAAGAGCAACAAAGAGGATTAGGGGACTGGAGGATAAAACATATGAAGAACGGTTGCAGGAACTGAATATGTCTAGTTTAATAGAAAGAAGGATCAGGGGAGGCATGATAGCAGTCTTCCAATATCTCAGGGGTTGCCACAAAGAAGAGGGAGTCAAGCTATTCTCCAAAGCATCTGAGGGTAAGACAAGAATCAACAGATGGAAAGTAACCAAGCAGAGAAGCAACTTAGAACTAAGGAGAAATTTCCTGACAGTTAGAACACTTAATCAGTGGAACAACTTGCCTCCTGAAGTTATGGGTGCTCCAACGCTGGAAGTTCTTAAGAAGAGAGTGGATAACCAATTGTCTGAAGTGGTATAGGGTTTCCTGCTTAAGCAGGGGGTTGGTCTAGAAGATCTTCTA